TAACTTAACAATGTAACTGGGCACATAGAAAAAAGCTCCATAAATATTAGTGTTAGCATTATTATTATAGCAGTGAGACTTGTTATTCCTAAAAAATAATTTAATTAAGTACCTCTAGACTAGCAGGTAAAATCATGGTATTTTTTTATGCCGAAAAGGTCCTGAAAGATCATCTAGTTCATTGCTTCTCATTAAAATAACCCAAGGAAGCTTTTAAAAAACACTGATATCCCAAATAACCAGATCAAAGAATGCTTATTGTATAAATCTTTTAGGTGAAATTCTAGAAAAGGCAAATGTAATCTGTAGTGACAGAAAGCAGATCAATGATTGTCTGGAGATGAGGCTGGAAGGACTTACAGCTGGAGGGCCAAAAGAAACCTTTTGGGGTGATGATAACGTTTTCTATCTTGACTCTAGAGGTGTTTACACAAGTGTATTCATCTGTCAAAAGTCTTTGGAACTGTACATTTATAAGTGAGTAAATTATATTGCATGTAAAATAGATCACTGTAAAGTTGATGTAAAGAGAACGCTGAATCTTACCCACAGAAATTCAGATTTCATTGTTCTAAAGTGAGGCTCAGAAATCTTTTTTTTCCATGCACCTAAGGCATCAACCAGGATTGGAAGCTACTGATCTAATCCAGTCCTCTCCTCTTCCAGTTGAGATTAACCCAAAAACATACAGCTGGTCAGAGTGGAAGAGGCAGGACTAAAAACCAAGTCTCCAGGTATCTTGTGCTCCAAACCTTCACATTCACTAATAATATTCCCTCTCCCTGGAGCTTCTTTCTCCTTCTTACCTTTCTCTCAAAATCCCTCCCACCTCTAGAGCCCAGCTCAAGTATCACAGGAAGCCTCAAGTTGCAGCTTTCCCCATTGGACTAGGAGCTCCTTATCAAGAAGGGCTGTAGCTTTTTTATTTTTGTATCCTTGGTACCCAACACTGTGCTTGGCACCAAGCAGACATTCAATAAACATTTGTTGAATAGAAAAATGGGTGGAAGGAAATTAACATTTATTAAATGCCCATGATATGCCAAGAATTGAAACAAATGCTTTATGCACTTTATCTCACTGAATTTTTATAATTTTATAAATTGGTTATCATTTCCCCCCTTTTGTAAGAGAGCAAACAGGCCCAGAGAGGCTTAGTAATTTGCCTATGGTCACACAGCAAAGAAAGTAGTAGAACCAAGGTTTGGACTCAGGTCTGTTTTCATTTATTTTTTTTAAATAAGTTTTTATTGATTTTTTAGAAAGGGAGAGAGAGAGAGAAACATCAATGTGAGAGAGAAACATCGATCGGCCTCCTATATGCCTCCTACTGGGGATTGAGCCTGAAACCCTGGCATGTACCTGACCAGGAATCAAACTGGGACCTCTCAGTCCATGGGACTGATGCTCAATCCACTGAACCACATGGGCTGGGCAGGTCTGTTTGTTTTCAAAGTTTATGATTTCTCTACCAGACTAGGCAGTCTCATTTATGGTGGTTACTCTATTCAGTCATTTTTTATTTCCTTTTTATTGAATTTATTGGGGTGACACTGGTTAACAAAATTATACATGTTTCGGGTGCACAATTCGATCATCTATACTCTGTGTTGTGTGTACACCACCCCAAGTCAAGTCTCCATCCATCACTATCTCCCCTATATCCTCTTTCACCTCCTCCTGACCCCTCCCAAGGCAATCACCATACTCTTGTCCATGTATTCAGTCTTTTTTTTTATGCACATTTTCTTAATCAGGAGGAAATAAACCAAAATTATAGTAAACATTACATATAACTTCTAGTCTGATGAACTTAAAATGTCATTTCATCTTCTCTTATTCGAACTTCACTGAATGCTAATGTTTCTTACTGTGTTTGACCAACTTGAATCTCACATCTGTGAATTGCCCAGTTGTAGCATTTGCTTTTTTTAAAATCTTTTTTAAAAAATTTATCTTTACTGTTGAATGTACTACAGATGTTCCTCATTTTCCCCCTATTGACCCCCTCCTCCTTTCCCCATACTGATGTCTGTGTCCATTGGTTATGCATATATACATATAAGTTCTTTGGTTTATCTCTTTCTCACTCCCCAACCCCCCTTCCCTTGGAGGTTTGTCAGTCTAACAACAAATTTGTACTTCTTCTTTTTTTTTTTTTTTTATCCTCACCCAAGGACATTTTTTGTTCAGGTACAGTGGGAGGGAGAGAGAGGAAGAGAGAGAGAGAGAGAGAAACATCGATGTGAAAGGGACACATCGAGTGGCTGCCATCCGCATGACCAACCAGGGCCGGGGACAAACTGCAACCAAGGTACATGCCCTTAGCGGGAACCGAACCCAGGTCTCTCGGGACCGCAGGCTGATGCTCTAACCGCTGAGCCAAACCGGCCAGGGCCAATTTGTACTTCTTAATCCCTTCACCTTTTCACCCATTCCCCCAACCCCTCTCCCATTTGGCAACCAACAAAATGTTCTCTGTATCTATGAGAATGCTTCTGTTCTGCCTGTTCATTTTGTTTGTAGATTCAGTTGTCCATAGATATGTATTCATTGTCATTTTGTTTGTTCACATTTTTAATCTTTTTCTTCAAGAAGACCCTTCAACATTTCATATAATAACGGTTTGGGGGTAATGAACTCCTTTAGCTTTTTCTTGTCTGGGAAACTCTTTATATGGCCATCGATTCTAAATGACAGCTTTGCAGAATAGAGTAATCTTGGTTGTAGGTTCTTGCTTTCCATCACTCTGAATATTTCTTCCCACTCCCTTCTGGCCTGCAAAGTTTCTTTTGAGAAATCAGCTGACAGTCTGATGGGAACCCCCTTGTAGGTAACTAACTGCTTTTCTCTTGCTGCTTTTAAGATTCTCTCTGTCTTGAACCTTTTGCATTTTGATGATGATGTGTCTTGGTGTGAGCCTCTTGGGGTTCATCTTGTTTGGGACTCTCTGTGCTTCCTGGACTTGTATGTCTGTTTCCTTCACCAAGGTAGGGAAGTTTTCTGCCATTATTGTTTCAAACAGGTTTTCAATTTCTTGTTCTCTCTCTTCTCATTCTGGCACCCCCAAGATGCAAATGTTGGCATGTTTGAAGTTGCCCCAGAGGCTCCTTACACTATCCTCATTTTTTTTTTATTCTTTTTTCTTTTTGCTGCTCTGATGGGGTGTCTTTTGCTTCCTTATATTCCAAATCGATAGTTTGCTTCTTGGCTTTACCTACTCTACTATTGAATCTGTGTAAATTATTCTTTATTTCAGTTAGTGCCTCCTTCATTTCTGACTGGTCCCTTTTTATGCTCTTGAGGCCCTCACTAAGTTCATTTAAGTTCTCACTAAGTTCATTGAGCATCCTTATAAGCAGTATTTTGAACTCAGCATCTGGTAGGTTGCTTATCTCCATTTCGCTTAGTTCTTTTCCTGGAGTTTTGTTCTGTTCTTTCATTTGGGACCTGTTTCTTTGTCTCCTCATTTTGGCTGACTCCCTGTGTTTGTTTTTACGTATTGCTTAACGAGAGGTATGGGGCTAGCTGAGACCAGATGCTGCTTGTTTGAAAGAATTTAGGAAAACCTGCAGCAGGATCCAACACAGGCCAATCTTATGGTAAAGCAACTGGCAACAGCTTGGGTGAGCCTGAAAGTTGGGTGGGGTGGGACCTCAGGGAGTCACCAGGGTGGGGCACACAGTGTGAGCCAGGTCGCTGGAGTCCCAGATATGGCGGCTATCTGCCGCCCCAGGGAAGGGCTCACCAAAGGAAAAAAAGGCCTCTGATAGCACGTTTATCCAGGAGAAAGCCGCCTCTTCAGCCCTCGCTCCAATGCCAAACAACTGAGTTCTTCCCCATATGTCTCTGGTGCCTTTCAAGCTGCCTCCCCCACGCTGGGGCCTGGAGGGTGTGAATCCAAGTAAGTCCGTGTGTGGACCCTTTAAGAGGAGCTGCCTGGGGCTCCAGCAGCCTCAGCCTCCCTCAGCCTCAGTTCCCGCTGGTTTTTCCAGCCAGAAATTATGGGGACTTCTCTTCCTGGCACTGGAACCCTGAGCTGGGCACCTGGTGTGGGACGGGAACCCCTCAGTCCTCAGGGAGAACCTTCCCAGCCGAGGTGTCCTAATTTTTTTCCGCAACACGTGGGTGTGGGACCAGCTCATCACGCCTCCACCCCTCCTACCAGTCTTGGTGTGGATGCTTCTTTAATTCCATAGTTGTAGGACTTCCATTCAGCTTGATTTCAGGCAGTTTTGAATGATGGTTGTTCTGTAGTTTAGTTGTAACTTTGATGTGGTTGTGGGAGGAGGCGATACCGCATTTTCCTACACTGCCATCTTGACCGGAAGTCCATGTATTCAGTCTTAAATTATGGATATTATATATCTTATCTCCTCAGTTAGGTTACAAGCTTATTAAATACAATAATTAAATTTTAGCACTTATAGCCCTGGCTCATTGTATAGCACTTAGTATGGCTTAGTGGTTAAGAGTGTTCGATTCCTGGTCAAGGGCACATACCTGGATTGCAGGCAATCCCTGGCTCCAGTCGGGGCACTTGCAGGAGGCAATCAATCGATGTGTCTTTCTCATATTGATGTTTCTCTGTCTGTCTGTCTGTCTGTCTGTCTCCCCCTTCCCATGTCCCCCTATCTCCCATTCCTTCCTTCCACTCTGTCTAAAAATCAACGGAAAAAATATATTTTAAAAAAATTAGCACTTATAACCCTATATCAATTCACAAGGTGGATGATTCGGCCACCTCAGTGTTAATAGAGTATCTAATTTTTAATTTCATGAGAATAACCATACAATCTAACACTTTTAAGAAGACCTGCGGTTATAACCTGCAGTTACAAGCAGACCTCTAGTCAAGGGGTACCACAGAAGGTTGGGATTTGAGCTGCTCTGTTTCTGCATTCTCTTAGCCTTCTGTGCACTCCTTGAATGATCTCTAAGCCATGTAAGCATCATACACAACATTCGGTTTAAAGAGTCATGTATCTCAAAGCACTTACCAAAAAAATTCCTGGAATGACATTGTGCCTTTGAACCAGAAGTGGACAATTGCTGCTGGTAAATTTAGATGCAGAGATGATGTTGTATTTGAGAAATCGAAAGGAATCCAAATGACTCTTTAAAAAAAAGTCATAAAGACATTAAATCCCAGGTAGCCAAGCTTCTGCTCTATTCAGCAGTATTTGTATCTTTGAACCAAGAATTCTAGACTCTGTCCCCACCACTTCATTAGAAATGCCTTTATAAGCTCCCCAAAGCCCTTGTATTGCCAACGCCAATGGGCATCTTTATGTTTCTTATGTTCTTTGACCTCTTTATGGCATTTGAAATCATTGAATAGTCCTCCTTCTCAAACTCTCTCCTGGGCATTTGTGGCCCCACTCTGTTCTGTTTTCTTCCTATTTCTCTCTGTCTTCCAGCCTAGTTTTTGTCAGGCACAACTTTTTCTCTACTTGATCTCTAACTATCTACTGTATGAAAATCTCCAGTCTTGCCTTCTGCCATCACTCTCTTTACACACTCCTTTGGTAACCCATAATTTCAACTACTATTTATGTCTACAAAATGTATACGAAGCCCCTTCCCCACCTCCTTCCCCCACATGCCTAAGTATAGCACGTTCCTCCCAATCCAGTTACCTCACTGGTTCCCACTCTTGTTCCCTAAAGCCCTGCCTACTCCGCACTGCTACGTGGCGTGGTGTGGTGCTTAGGAGTGAGTCCTAGAGTACAACTCCATGGCCTGGACTCAGTCCCACCATTTCCTCACTAAGGAATCTTGGACAAATGATTAACTGTACTGTGTCTCAGTAATGGTCCTGTGCTCCATGGACTCATATGCAGAAAGCCAGCCACTTAGGGTTCTTTTGAGAATTAAATGATATTCCAAGTAAACAATGGTTGAAATACAGCAAGTACTCAATAAATATTTTCTCTGTTGACCTTATTCTGACTTTTCCATTTCTGATCAGTTTAGCATACATTTACTGAGTGTCTGTTAGATGCGAAGCATGGGGTGGGGCAGATACTGTCTGCACCAAGGATGGCAGAGCCCTTGGGATTTAATGTATATTGTTGTCACTCCAGTGAGGAGTTAAACTCCTGATTTAGGTCTTGGTCTTATCCGCTCAGCCTGTCTATCTCTTCAGGGGACACCTAGCTCAGTCCACAAGCTCGAGGTCCCAGTAGTACCTCCCATGAGACCAAGTAAGAATTAGTAGTGACTATACACCCTCATATCTGACCCCCAGGCTGAAAAATCATTCATTCATTCATTGGTTCATTTATTCATTTGGCAAATACGTTTTAAGTGTTAACCATGTGCTGGCCCATGATAGGCACTGGAGTTATAATTGTGAACAATACACTGTCCTGCCATCAAGAAACTCCCAGCCTATTGGCAAAGGAACCCGGCTTCAAAGCAGGCTGGGAGGGTGGAGCTGCTAGTCCCAGAACCTGTATTTCCAGAACCTACCACTCACCCTCTGTGGCTCAAACCACCCTTTCAGGAGCTTTGTCTACACTCTTGAAACTTCCACCAGAGTATCCAGTGAATTCTCACTGTTGTTCAGCTTCCAAGTACAACTCAACAATTCCAGCACCATGGTTAGGTGGCATGAAAGAGAATAGAGGCCAGGCAACCCTTCTACAGGAGACTGAAGTTCTCAGGTGAATTTTCTGTGTTTTATAATTGTCCCCATTCTTTTTTTTTTTTTAATCCTCACCCGAGGACATTTTTGCATTTGTCTTCAGATAGAGCCCGAGAAAGAGAGGGGGAAGAGAAAGAGAGAAACATCCATGTGAGAGAGACACATCAACTGGTTGCCACCCACATGACCCCAACTGGGGCGGGGCCAAACTGCAATTGAGGTACATGCCCTTAGCAGGAACCAAACCCAGGACTCTCTGGTCCGCAGGCTGACGCTCTAACCACTGAGCAAAACCAGCCAGGGCACTGTCCCCATTCTTAAAGTTTCCTGGCATAAGATCATTGCTTCCCTTTTTATGATCTAAAAAATAATCTACTTTTTGGAAGCATAGGGTACCTAGCCAGCTATGCCCAAATTTCACCATTCAAAGTTATAAAATATCACCCCCTGCAAGGTTGCTCTCAATTCTGCTGGACAAAATATTTCTTTAGTTAAAATGTGTATTTTAAATTGGTTTTCTTGTTTATACTCTGCCTTTTAAGCAAAACACCTGAGGTAGTTTGAAGGAAGGAAGTATAGTGTAAGAGAAAATTATAAATTATAAAAATCATGATGAGAAAATTTCAATATAAACAGAATATATATATGTGTGTGTGTGTGTGTGTGTGTGTGTGTGTATACATATATATATATCTCCAAAAGAAGAAACAGATTTCAGATAAGTGGTCAATAATTTTTTACCCTCTTGTAATAATTCAGTCTAAAACTTTGCTCTGTGCTTTAAGGCAAAGTGAAAAGAGAAACCCAATTGTACACAAAATCTCATTACCAGGGAAGAGGACACATACCAGATCCTCATGGGAAGTAAAGCTTTCTAGCTTCTCATTCAGAGAAACAATTTTCACATCAGGCTTCATATAGGGTTTACTAGGCCTGTTAGCAAATAATGCAACATCCCTTAAAATAAGCTCAGGGCATATTCAGGGCACCATTGTAGAGGCAACTCCTTGGAAACAGTTTGGCAAGGGGTGATAGGGCCCAAGCTCTCGGCTTTCAAGTGCTTCAACTTGATGAAGAACAAGATCTGAGGCTCTCCAAGCATTCTATAAAGTACATTGTGGGGCTATCACTCTGGTTGGAATAAGAAACTGAACATGCAGGGAAGAGCCCCTGGTGGGAGTGGGCCCTCGATGTCAGGTAAGGAACTTGGACTTGACCTGAAGAGAGGTCCTTAGAGGGTTTTAAGCAGAATAATTTGTCTATTAAAAGAATACTCTGCAATGTATAGAAAATATCAGAGGGACTAAGACCAGAAGCAGGAAATAGAGATGACATTGGAGAAGATCAGGTGGGAGATGATAAAGGCCTAAAATAAGCAGAAGTAATGAGATTGAAAAGAAGGGACAAATAGAAAAAAATGTCACAGTAATAGAATTAATAAGACATAGAGACTTATTAAATGTGTTGAGGGTAAAGGCTATTAGGTGGAAGAGGTTTTATGAGTGCCTACTCAGATCTACTGGTAGTGGCTACTTGGAATGCAATCTGAATAAGAGTTTAGGGCCCAGTCTAGGCTCAGTTGAAAAGAATGATAGATTAGTAATATCTGCCATGGATGCAGAACTAGAAGACACTGGAATGACTGGTATTTACCATCCCCATTCTCTGGCAAAGGAAGCATAAAAATGTACTGTATGTTTTGAAATGTGCACACTGTGCAATTTCATGTATAGGAAGGTCTAGAACAGACAAAACTAATTTATGTGATAAAAGTCAGAAGAGTGGTTACCTGGGTGTGGGTATGTGGGTGGATTATTGACTGAGAAGGGGCAAGAAGAGGCTTTTGGGGGCCTGGAAATATTCTATATCTTGACCTGGGTGATAATTATACAGACATATACATATGTAAAAATTCACTAGAGTATATACTGTTAAGATTTGTGACCTTTATTATATGAAGGTCATACCTCAATTAAAAGTAGGGGGAATTCCTTCTGTGAGCCTCTGTGTGGCTAAGGAAATGTATTAAGATATAATGTGTGCCCTGGCTCGTTCGGTTCAGCAGTTAGAGCATCACCTGTGGACCAAAGAGTTGCAGGTTCGATTCTGGTCAAGGGCATGTACCTCGGTTGCAGTTTGGTCCCCAGCCCTGGTCGGGGTCGTGCAGGAGGCAGCCAATTGATGTATCTCTCTCACATCAATGTTTCTCTCTCTTTCTCTGGAAAAATATCTTCGGTGGGGATTTAAAAAAAAAAAGATATAACATGCAAGGAAACATTATTTCATGATTTGTCTTTATATACATGACACTCACCTGAGGGCAAGGCATGCTTCTAGTTCTGTTCTGTTCCCTGTACATTCCGGTCACTTCCCTTATAGCCTTGTTCTTTTCCTTAGCTGAGAGCACATAGACTATAATAATCTGGTCCACGGAAGACAGCTTTTTGCTTATAAGGTGATCATACTCCAGGTCTGTCACTTCAGGAATGATGTAAGTGCTACATCGGCATGTGTCCCCTTCCTTCCCACACAGTGCCTGCCTTAGGACCACAGGACAAACCAGGTGGGAAGCAAACCATGCATCCTTGCTCTTAATGGAAAGAGGAGGCCTAGAAGAATAATGATAGAAATCACATTTGGAGAACTAAAAGGACAGAAAGAACATCATTTTTAAAAGTACCAAAGAACCAATGTGGCTACTTTATTTTTATTATTACAGTGATACCTCGGTTCTCGAACGCCTTGACTTTCGACCAAATCGGTATTCGACCAGGAGATTCGAGAAACTTTTGTCTTGGAATCCGAACAAATATTTGGAACTCGAACTTCCGAGATGAGCCGAGTTGAGCCGAATGGCGTTCATTCGGCCCAGCGCGCCTTGCTCGCGTCATCAGTGTGAGTGCAGAGAGAGAGTCACGCTTTGTGGAGAGAGTCACGCTTTACACTGAATTTAACCCTTAGACATACTGTACACTTTTATTTCTTGTTGAGACTTATGTTTTTCTACATATTATATACAAATTAGGCCAGTAAATAGGCATTTTCTGGGGCTTGGAACGAATTAATCCAGTTTCCATTATTTCCTATTGGTTTCATTGCTTCGGTTCTCGAACAATTTGGTTCTCGACCGTCCTCCTGGAACGAATTATGTTCAAGAACCGAGGTATCACTGTATTATTTTAAGAATTTGATTAAATCCCCTCCACCCCTTTCACAATGAAAATATAGTCAAAGAGAAAAAAAGCATTTCACACTGTATATCCTAAAGTGGCTACTTTAGTGAAGCATTACAATTTTTTTCTGGACAGAATTTTATTTGCCAACACACTAAAATAATTGTCAATGTACTAAAAGAATTAAATGCCATTCTTATGTGTATTATATAAATATGTTATAATTCATTATCTATCAGGGTTGGGGGTTTTAACTGCAAGCAACAGAAACAAATTGTAGCTAATTTAAGCAAATAAATAAAAATGGAATTTATTAAAGAACTCAGAAAATCTTTGGCAAGGTGAAGGAACAGGGTTTGCAGGCTCCCCTGCCAGGGACAATGTCCAATGGAGACAGCACTGCCACAGCTGCTGGGCAGATTCTACAGCCTGCACTGCTGGCCTGCGGACCCAGGACATGAGTGAGAACTCTGGACTTCACTTGGAGCTGCTGCCCCCTGTTAGGGTGGCTGGGCAGGCTTGCTGGATTGGGGAAGTCTGGGTTATGTGCCTGGGCCCTAACTTCAGAAGAGACTGAGAAAGCAAGGATCTGACATTTTTGTCATCTACAATGGAAGGCACTCTGCCTTAGCAGGTAGGGTGTCCCCAAACACAGAAAGTTAGGTTCAGATGCTAGGTGGTCAAAACAAATAACAGTTGTCCACAGCAATTTATACATTCACTTATTACTGGACATTGAGATGGTAGTTTCCAATTTTCTACTATCACAAACTCCTGCAATGAAAGTTTTATACATTTCCCTTTTTTGTACTTAAGACTTTTATTTTAATGTAGTTAAACTTATCAACCCTCGCCTTTATGTTTGTGTGTCTTTTGTGTATGTTTGGTTCAAGAATTTATTTTCTACTTCAAGGTGATAAAAATATTTTCCTTATGTTTTCTTCCAAAGTTTTTATTATTTGGCCTTTCATATTTAGTTCTTTGATCTACCTGGACTTTATGATGGGGAATAGGAATCATAAGATGATAGACAGATAGATAATTAGACAACCAGTTGTCTCACTACCATTGATTGAGCAAGCCACTCTCTCCTCATTGGTTTGTAGCTATCTCTGTTGTATATCAAGTTTCCATATGTAGTTGGGTCTAGTTGGGGCCCTCTATTCCATCCCATTGGTCTAACTAGCCTGGTCTCAGTACCACAGTATCTTAGTTCCTATTTTTTCATAAAAAGTTTTGAGCCCTGGCCGGTTTGGCTCAGCGGTTAGAGCGTCGGCCTGCGGTCCGGAGAGACCCGGGTTCGGTTCCCGCTAAGGGCACGTACCTCGGTTGCAGTTTGTCCCCGGCCCTGGTTGGTCGTGCGGGTGGCAGCCACTCGATGTGTCCCTTCACGTCGATGTTTCTCTCTCTCTCCCTTCCTCTCTCTCCCTCCCACTCTATCTGTACAAAAAATGGAAAAATAGCCTCGGGTGAGGATTAAAAAAAAAAAAAAAAAAAAAAAAAAAAAAAAGTTTTGAAATCTGGTAGGGCAGGTCCTCCCACTTTGTTTGTCTTTTTCAAATGTATCGATGCTATTTCCAGAAATAGCTATCTTACACACCAAAGAGGACAATGATCAAAAATAGAACTTTTGGCACACAATATGAGCCATAAAGAGCAGCAAGTTAACAATACGACCTTTGCCAGTGGCTGGAGAGTGGCAGAGAGCTCTGGAGAAGGCGGCAGGGGTTATCATTGCAGTAATCAGGGGTGTTTAAAATTAAGGTTCTGACTACCATCCTGTAAAGAACAGAAGTCCCAGCCTCAGGGACACTCTCTTGTCCTCTTGTTTTCTCCATAACCACTTACTCCTCCATCTCCACCTTTGTCTTCCCAGGGGCCCATCTCAGGTGAACACAGAGTGTACCAATATCAGGGCCCCTGGGAGGCATTCTGAGCATCCCTGAGTAATTCCAACGTGTCAGTGAGTGTGCTGTGAAATCATTAAAAGTCAGGTTTCACAAAGGAGAAAATGAACACATGGGACTACATCAAACCAAAAATCTGCACAGCAAAAGAAACAATCATCAAAATGGAAAGGGAACCCACTGTATGGGAGAGCATAATTGCCAATGATACACCAGATAAGGGGTTAGTTTCCAAAATATATAGAGTGCTCATACAACTCAACAAGAGGAAGACAAAGAACCCAATTAAAAAATGGGCAGATGCCCTGGCTGAGCCAGTTTTGCTCAGTGGTTAGAGGATCGACCTGCGGTCCAGAGAGACCCAGGTTCGGTTCCCGCTAAGGGCATGTACCTTGGTTGCAGTTTGTCCCCGGCCCTGGTTGGGTTGTGTGGGTGGCAGCCACTCGATGTGTCCTTTTCATGTCAATGTTACTCCCCCCCCCCCCCAATTAATGTGAACAAAAAATGGGAAAATGTCCTTGGGTGAGGATTAAAAAAAAAAAAAAAATGGGCAGAACTAAATAGACACCTCTCCAGACAGGACATACACATGGCTAAGAGACATATGAAGAAATGCTCATTACTAATCATCAGAGAGATGCAAATTAAAACAACAATGAGGTATCACCTCACACCTGCCAGAATGGCTGCCATCAACAAACAACAAGTGCTGGCGAGGGTGTGGAGAAAAGGGGACTCTAGAACACTGCTGGTGGGAATGCAGTGTGCAGCCACTTTAGAAAACACTATGGTGTTACCTCAAAAAATTAAAAATTGAATTGCCATTTGACCCAGTGATCCCACTTCTAGGAATATACCCTAAGAAGCCTGAAACACCAATCAGAAAGAACATATGTACCTCCCATGTTGAGAGCAGCACTATTTACAATAGCTAAGATCTGGAAACAGCCCAGTGTCCATCAGTAGACCAATGGATAAAAAAGTTTGGTATGTATACACAATGGAATATTATGCAGCTATAACAAAGAAAGATCTCTTATCCTTTGAGATGACATGGAGGGACCTGGAGAGCATTATACTAAGTGAAATAAGCCAAGTAGAGAAAGACAAATATCACATGATCTCACTTATTTGTGGAATATAATGAACATAACAGTCTGAGGAACAGGGTAGACCCAGAGACGTGGAAGTAGGGTACAGACTGACAACCCTCAGAAGAGGAAATGGGGGAGGAGGGAAGAGATAAACCACAGAATTTATATGCATGTATGTATAACCAATGGACATGGGCAACAAAGCTGGGGACGGGATGGGGAGGAGGATGTCAATGGGGAAAAAAGGAGAAACATCTGTAACAAAAATAAATAAAATTTTTAAAAGTCAGATTTCAAGCTACAACCCTCCATATAAATGTTGGCTCAAAAAGGCATTTCAAGTTCTTGCCTTGATCATCCTCGCAACCTCCTGCCTCCAACATGTTGCAGTAATGGTAAAATAAAACAATTTAAAATATCAAAACTATACTTCAAGTCAAGATGAACACCTGTATGGATAGAGACTCAATATGTTAGTGGAGCTAAAGCTATAAGCTTGCTTGGCTCTGAAGCTAGAAATAGCAAAAGTGGACAAGAATTTGGTCCCTGTGGGAAAACAGAATAAAATGCTCTTCTCAAGGCAGAATGATGTGGTGCTGGAGGATGTTGTCTAACTCACTTATTGAAGCCAAGGACCAGGGTAGGGCTTCCACCACTCTTTGCAAGAGGCCAGAACAGCTGCTGTCTACTCCTGCTTGGCACCATAGCTCATAGGACACTTTAAGCTCAGGCAGGTTGGAGAACACAGACACAGCTACCCAACCAGAACTAACGCAGGCTGCTTGCTCATCTAAGGACTAGATCTGCAACAGTCTAATACTCATGGGGCAGGACACCCACCCCACCATTATTTGACCTGGTTCTGAATTTCTGAATGTGAGGACCTGGGGTCCGGGGTTGTGGCAACTAAAAAATTACTAGAGAGGAAGGGGTAAGCAGATGTACACACACACCCCATATACAGAAAGAGGCAGGAAAAATCTTCCACTCAAGATGAATTCATTCCATGGCCAGGTGACTGGTAGCACTGCTTGTTTGGTGGCCTTAATGAAGCCTGCTGATAATGCTTTAAATACAGAAAATATTTCTTTCATGACATTTACGCACCACTTTTTAAAAAATTTTTTATTAATTTATTTTTGTTACAGATGTTTCTCCTTTTCCCCCCATAGACACCCTCCTCCCCATCCTGCCCCCCCCCCCCCCGCCTTGTTGTCTATGTCCATTGGTTACACTTACATGCATATAAGTTCTTTGGTTTATATCATCCATCCCCCTGCCCCCCACCCCCCAAGGTTTGACAATCTGAACCATACTCCTTTCTATGTCTGGGTCTATTTTATTCATCAGCTTATTTTGTTCATTATATTCCACAAATAAGTGAGATCATGTGGTATTTGTCTTTCTCTGATTGGCTTATTTTGCTTAGCATAAT